GCGCAGCTGACTTTTTTCAACTTGAAGCTGTAAAAGCTTTAATACGTCGTTTTCAATTATTGTTGGCCCAGATCCATCATCCAATAACGCATATACATCAATAGCTGCGTGCCTACTATGAATTGTAATTGGCACCACTCTGTACAGTACGTTTGATGTACTCTGGACATGCATGGCAATCAAGTTATCGTCGCCCTTAACAATTTCTTTATTTTCAATCGGCCTGTGCAACAAATAATGGTGCTTTGCAGTGCAATTACTTACACCACATTCCTTACGTTCTTTGCAAAATTTCGGATTGTGCTTCTTAAGACAAGATCGGCATAACTCTAGGCGACGCACGGTGTTCCATTTGTCATCATATTGCATTGCCTTGAATTTCTTACAATGCGACATATGGTGACCCTCAGCACACAGTGAACATTTGTGCGATTCATTTCTTTTGTTGCACTGTTGTTTCTCTTCTTAGTGAAACCCAACACGATGTGCCTTACGCGTCTCTGGTTGCTGATTTACATTCGAGGGTTTGGTTAATACGGTGCAAGTTGCCTGAGCCAAATCGAACAACCATTTGCTAAAGTCAACCATATTCGCGTTAACAACATGACAGCTATGCACCGCCCAATCTAAACTTAGTTTGGCTGGGAGTTTACAAATTAACTCTTGCAAAAGCATAGGATTGTTCAAATGAGCCGTGAGACTGGCTGCTTGTATTGTTGAAAATAGGTTCTTTACTTCTAGTGAGAAGTTGACTAGCGTTTCTAACTTGTTTGCATTTACCCCAGGCGAAAAACGAATCTTTTCCAAAATATTGTTAATTAAATATTCAGGCTTACCGAAAACCATTCGAAGCGTAGCGATTACCTCCGGTACTAACTCTGGTAGTAAAAGTTGACTGCTCACGTATTCATATGCTTTACCTTTAAGTGCACGTTGCAGTCTGAGCATGTTCTCGTCATTGCTGAAACCACAAATTCGAGTTGAACTTTCAAAATTACTTATAAAGACTGGCCAGTCCTCTGGTTTGCCCCTGAAAGTTGGCAGCTCTTTTGGAATAGCATGCCTTGCTTGTATTTGCTCGGGTCGCAGATACGTTCCCGATGACGTATTACGACAATATTGTGATTGGTTATATTGACCATACTCGTGATTGCCATTATCACGACTAACGCATCTACCGCCCTGCACCTGTCTATAACACCCATCCACTTGTTGAGTACTACCTGTTTGCATGAATGTCGAAGCATGCGTACTTGGACCATTTTGTGAAGTCGACACTGCTCCCCTTGTTTGTATATTCGCATCATGTACAATATTGTTGGTTACAGGATAGCTTGCTGCACCCTGTACACCACCGTGCATATTTTGATTTGTTGCATTCAATACAGTAGACATGCAAGAAAATGTTGCATTCGCGTTGATGTTCGCGTCAGGCGTGACACCATGTCTCTGCAATATTTCATATTTCCTTCTTAGAAACAGAAGATTTGTTTGCTGCTCTTCTTCCAGACGTTGAAGCTCCAATCTTACATCTAGGACACTACCCACTAGCGTAGCACTCTCCTGCACACACTTCTTGGCTTGCTCTGCGTTGTCCGGAGGCTGTGAAGTCTTTTCTTGCTGCGATTTGGGTTCAATGGCGACGACCGTGTTATTGTTGGTACATTCATTGCATACCCTTCGCTGGACGGATGGTTCTATTAGGGTTGAAAATGAATCCCAAATGATCAACCTACAAGTATCTGCAAAGGACAAAAATAAAATGTTTATGCTTCGGGACGTTCGCACAGTTAACAAATTAGACTTTCCTGAACAAACCTTAATTATGACAGAGCTGGCTGACAAATATAAGCATCTTACGGGTTTGCCGGTTGAGTCCTATCACGGTGTAGTCCCCCAGATAATTATCGGGTTAAATAACAAGCATGTGGCAATGCCACTGAAGTTCAGGGAGGGAAAAGCTGATGAGCCCGCTGCAACGAAAACACGTCTGGGCTGGACGGTTTACGGTGTGGTGAAAACTCATGATGATAAGAACACCAACAACCTTCAGCTACATATTTGTGAATGTGATAACGACATCGCCCTCGCTAAACTTATGTTAGAACACATGAAGCTGGAAAATGTTGGATTAGAGAAGATACGCCAAAGCGATGGTAAAAGAGATGTGCTTGCAAAATGCGTTGAGCGCACTGGCGACCATTTTACAACCAGGCTGATTTGGCGCTGCGATAATATAACCTTGCCAAACAATTTTGAATCTGCCTTGCGCAGACTTGTTGGGTTTGAGAAAAAGCTAAGTAAAAACATCGAGATGAAAGATAAGATTAACGCGCTCATACATAGTATGGAACAAAAAGGGTACATTCGAAAGCTCGATGAAGTTGAAGTTAATCAAGAGTATAAACGCAATTGGTATTTACCAATCTTTTCCGTAAGCAACCCTAACAAGCCAAGCAAGATACGGGTGGTTTGGGACGCAGCAGCTATGCATCAAGGAATATCCCTCAACGGGTACCTCGAAAAGGGACCTGACCTGTTGCGACCATTAATTGACGTTTTGTACAACTTTAGAATCGGGAAGATTGGCATCTGTGGTGACATATGCGATATGTTCCACAGAATAAGGGTTCATAACGACGATCAGCATGCGCAGCGCTTTCTCTGGCGCGATTATGACACTAGTCGATCGCCGAGCACTTACGTACTCCAAGTGTTGTCATTCGGCGCAAGTTGTTCTCCTGCAATCGCGCAATACGTAAGGAATAAAAATGCAGAAGACTTCGCCAAAGAGTTTCCGAGAGCGGTAAAGTCGATAACAGAAAGGCATTACGTGGATGATATGCTAGACAGTGTCGATACGGAAGAGGAAGCAATAGAATTGGTAGAGCACGTTGTCGAAGTTCACAAGCGGGGCAACTTTCATTACAGGGGATGGCTGACCAATTCGTCTCAGGTTGCTAACGCCATAGGTGACAAAGGTTCGGATGATGAATTTTGTAACTCGGGAAGAACCCTTGACCAGGTGATAGAGCCAGAAAAGGTTCTCGGCCTATGGTGGCGAACGAGTTCTGATATGTTCACGTTTGACACTAAGTGTACCAAAGCCAGCAAAGAGATTTTGCGTGGTGACAAGATACCCACCAAGAGTGAAATTCTACGGCTACTCATGTCAGTTTATGACCCCTTAGGTTTCCTATCGTTTTACACTATACAACTAAAAATCTTACCACAGGATATCTGGCGAAGTGGTGTCGAATGGGATGATGCGATTCCTAAGGAGTGCGAAGGGGCGTGGCGTCGGTGGTTGTCAATTTTCCAGCATGTAAAAGAGGTCCAGGTTCCTAGATGCTATTTCGGCAAAATACCTTCGTAGACGCCAGCGAGGTAGCAAGTGCAGCCGTGTCATATTTTAGAATAACAAACGAGGAAAATATTCAGGTCGCTTACGTAGCCTCAAGGGCCAAAGTTGCCCCGCTCCGACCTATATCTATACCACGAATGGAACTACTTGCTGCAGTATTGGGAGCCCGCCATATATATATATGCCATAGTTAAAGGTCATGATCTCACCATTCACGATATGTATTTTTTATACAGATTCACGCACAGTGCTGGCATGGTTGCACTCTGACCCTCGAAAGTTTAAACAATTGGGCATGCTTAGAGTCGCAGAGATTCAAGAAACTACACACGTAACCAGATGGAGTTATGTTCCCTCAAAGATGAACGTAGCGGATGCGGCCACGAAGTGGAAGAACACAATCGCGGCGCCCTCCAAAGATATGGAACTAAATCCGGAAGCAGAACATATTAACGTACATACAGAGTTCCGCCCCATAAAAGATCCAACAAGATTCTCAAAATGGGAACGACTTGAACGAAGTATGTGAAACATTTCATCGACAAATGCAAACCTGAAGCAACGAGGAAAAAGTTTGATCATGAGCAAGGAACGTCTGAAGGACTGACCACTGAGGAGTTGCAATGGGGCCAACGTTGGCTCTACCGTCTTGCACAAGCCGATTCATATTCTCAAGAAATCAAGATGCTTAAGAAGAATTCGGACAGCGTCTTGCCAAAGCTAAGCGTTTTGCGGAAGCTGTCACCATTTATTGATAACGATGGGGTTTTGCGTCCCTATTAAAGATTCTATAAAAAATCCAATAATATTGCCCAAAAATCACAAAATTACACAACTGCTTATCAACTGGTATCATCGCAAGTACAAACACGTCAATCACGATACTGTTGTTAATGAGATATATCAAAAGTTTCACATACCAAGCTTACGTCGTGCCCTGCGAACAGTTCGCTATGACTGCCAGCACTGCAAGTTGCGTAAGGCCAAGCCGCTGCCACCGAAGATGGGTCCACTTCCTGAAGCACGCCTGGCACCCTACACAAGACCGTTTTCGTACGTGGGAATTGACTTTTTTGGGCCATTCCTTGTTACAATCGGACGGCGTGCTGAAAAACGATACGGTGTTTTATTCACCTGCATGACATTTCGAGCCATTCACGTTGAAATAGCACATTCGCTATCCATGAATTCCTGTGTAATGGTTGTTAGGAATTTCATAAGCCGGAGAGGAACGCCGGTGCATATGTTCAGCGACAATGGAACAAATTTTGTTGCTACAGAGAAAGAGTTACGAGAGGCTTTTCGCCAGCTTGATATTGGCGCTCTTCAAATGCAATTCACGTGTGTTGAAACTAAGTGGACGTTTATTCCTCCTGCTAGTCCACACATGGGAGGAGCGTGGGAGCGAATGATTCGCACATTTAAAGATGTCCTATATCAAGTACTGACCCCAGAAACTAAACTTAGTGACGAGAAATTGTACAACCTATTCGTAGAGGTTGAGAGCATTATGAACAGTAGACCACTCACGTACCTATCATTGGAGACCGCAGAACAGGAAGCGTTGACTCCGAACCACTTCCTGTTGGGAAGTTCGTCGGGACTTAAGCCGCCAGGTCTGTTTTCCTCCTCAGACCAGTACGTGAGACGGTCTTGGCGCCATTCACAGTACCTAGCCGATAGATTTTGGAAAAGGTGGGTAACAGAGGTGCTACCAACGTTAACTAGAAGAGCAAAGTGGTATGACGAAGTTAAGCCAATTAGAAAAGGTGACGTTGTGATCATAGTGGATCCCAACCTACCCCGTTACACGTGGCCGAAAGGCAGGGTCGTGGACACATTCACAGGGAAAGATGGCCAAGTAAGAAGCGCTTTAGTACGTACCGCAACCGGCGAGTATCACCGGCCTGCTGCAAAACTAGCAGTATTGGATGTAATCGGGGAGAGAAGCGGCGATGATGCACCTGTTAAGGTATTAACTCATCCATATCGTTATACCGGGAGGGAGAATGTTGCAACACCGCCCGGTAACACACCACAACTGACGTAAGAATATGGCAGCACAGAAAAGATGCAACTCTGCCAAACAAAGAAATATACAAACGCGAACATTTTTTTGGTTTTCTTTTATTCTTGGATTATATTCTTAGAAGTTTTAAGCCAACGTCACTTTTGAATTCGCAAACGAACGTTATTCGTACTCTCTTTTATTTTTCCAAGCGAATCTAGTTGGTCAACTAAAGTAAGTTTCTAAAACGATGTAAATGAATTATATGTATTAACCTGGATTTTAATTTCAATAAATAGTTTTTTAAAGCTGCTGCAACTGCTCAAATTAAAAGTGTGCAACACGATTGTTTTAACTGGGCGGATAGCTGCTGTGAACGTTGGTGAACCAACACATAAGCTTATAATAGGTGAGAAATTATTTAGTCTTAATATGCATATTTTATTTTGTGTTCCGAAATTCGCTCCGAGCGCGTTCACTATTGATCTTTTGATTTAAATATTGTTTGTCAAGCATTCAGCAGAGCTTTAAAACTGTAAAAAAAATGAAATTAAAAATCCTCAATTTTATGTTATTATGTTTTCATTGAATTTTTGTGGCCCATAATTTTCCAATTCTACATTCACTCAAAGTAGATAAGATTGCACACATTAACATATTCAAAGAAAGATTTAAAAAATTTAATGACGAAACATTAACTTTTAGCACTGAATAAGCACTCAGATGAATGCAGCTTTTGCTATGTTTGCACACATTCATTCAGTACCAATCAATCGATATTAATATTCTAAACACACAAAACCCACTAAAATATACGCAGGGTTGAATTTTATTAAACAGATTTCAAAATTTCAACACGCAAAATAGAAATTGAGCGTTATCATTAATTTGTTTCACTTAAACTTGTACAAGTATTTATAATATACTAGCTATACCCTGCCACGCTTTGCTGTGGCATAATCCTGTTACATGATAAATTATTAACAAAACGAAGCATTCGTTTCATATGAGTTTGGTTTTGAAATAAGTACAAAGATATCTGGTTTGCCGACACGGGAACACGCAACATCTGAGAACAAATCCGCATCTCAATCTAAACCACACTTTTCCAAAGGTTAACCTTGAGCATTATTGATTGTGATTCCGAATGCCAAGTGAATTGGAAATTGCAATCTTTTAAATCGAAATGGTGTATCGGTCGGAATCATGGGAATTATTCACCTTTGGAAGGCCACGTAAAAATCTTTACTTACACTACGTTCTTCATCAATCTCTTAACTGCGAGTCGCGTACCGTTGCAGAGTTTTGGCTGATTAAAATTCCGCAACGTGATAATTGGCACACCTATTTTCAATTCAGTATGTGGGGTCATCCCTGGAAGATCAATCGAGTTTAAAATTCCGTTGGATAATTAACTGATTCGTCTTTTTCCACAACGGTGTTTATCGACGTATATGCACTGAAAATAAAATCTGCGTAAATATAACGAAAACTTGCGTAAATCTTACGAAATTTTTCGTCATTTTGGGCCACGTAAGTTTTCGTTGATTGTACAAAACCATTTTCGTACATACTACGAGAATATGAGGCATCAGATTTTTAGTACATTTTACGAATGTATTCGCACAATTTACTAAAGAATTTAGTACTATTTACCAAAGAATTTGGTACTATTTACTAACGAATTTCGTACTATTTACTAAAAAAATTCGTACTATTTCTTTATTTTTTTACGAAATTTTTGTAAAATGCACAGAAATAATTCGTATTTTTAACGAAATTACTTTCGTAAAATCTGCGCTTGTTTCGTAGAATGTGCGATTTTGCTTTCATTCTCCACACTGTAAAAAACATATTACGAATTATAACACAACACTTTTATAAACGCTTAACATTATTGATTAAAATTTAATGAAAGTGTTGTGCTATAGTTTTAGTCATGTTTTTCATAGTGTTAATAATAAAAGCAATCATACGTTCTACTACACTGTAGTTTAGAATTAATAAAAAAGGTTATCTTACCTATAATAAAACTTAAGTCTTTTATTTATATGCATACGAATAGGTTCTATACTACATATTTTTTTATTGCTAAGGCTTCATTCAATAAAGTATATTGATGCAAAGTGTTAAACTCAACAAAACTAAGTATAAGAAGATATAAAATATGAAAGAATATAAAAAATACTTGGTTTACTTTCTTAAATGTTATAATATTTTTATGTAGAGGAACTTGACAGATTTGCAGCTTCATCGATGTTTGTTTCCTTGACGACTATAAATTAAAGGAAAATTATAAGGCGTTTGAAAAGCAAGTTTCAGTGAAAATTCATACATGTAGATACTTTTAATTATATTAAGTAGTGCTCCTGGCCTAGGCTTGCCGTTGATAGGTAACTGATGAAATTGCGTATTTATCAAGTCACACATTCCAGCGCAAGGTGCAGCGTAGGCGATGTTAAAAACATTGTATGCTTAAAAGCATAGTATATCCACAGCTTTAATATTTAATTTTGTATTGTTTTCTTATAAAGCAAATCCCTTTTTAAAATGTTTAAAATTATATTATACGTTTCACAGCAGCCAACAATGATTTCCACAATGACACGCGATGCAAAAAATATGAATATGATGAACCATATTTACGTATGGTTCGTAAAATCTTGTTTCGTTGTGAAAAATGTGTTCGTATTATGGAACGAAAGTTTCGTACATTGTACAAAAACCAACACTACGAAAGATTTTCGTAGAACTTTTACGAAATTTTATTTTCAGTGTGTTATTGTTTAAGCGACTTATGCATTTCCCGCATAAACAAAGAACAGCGAACACACAGGCGCATTTATATTGCATTTTCCGCATAAACTAAGTGCAGCGAACACACACACGCACTTGTGTTTAAAAGTAATTCGCTCGTTCTTAATTGGGTATACATTTTTTATGCAATTCTCAAATATCTCTTCGCTGAACTTAGTGAAGTGATAAGTTGCTGGCATTTTCAGCTATGGTCAACGCTAACCCAGCTTGGCTATCACACGGTGCTTTAAACATCACCCACACTCATTTCCCGGAGTAATTTTTGGCATGGTATTAAGCTACTGATTACAAACCACGCTGGGGCTTTGCACGAATGCATCCCTGGATAAATCCCTGCTCATTGCACAGCAGCCTACGGCAGCTAGAGCATGACTCCTCCAAAGGAGTCCCGCAATGAATACACGGTGAAAGGGTCACATCTTGCGCTACCGCTTCATCAGCCTGCCCGGATATTTCTCTCTCTCTCACTTTCTCTCTAGCATATCAGGCATATGAAGTGCGTGGCTGACTGGATGTGCACCTAAAAACCATACGGGCTCATTGAGCTCGATACATAAACACTCGCAAAGGTAATCCCTACCTCCTCAACTACTCTAACTCGACCACAACTCTAAACCTGGTCTCCCGCTCTCCCTCAGCTAAACAGTTATTTCCTCACTTTGAATGTTGGAGTGAATATCATTAGTGGTATTCACCAAAGTGAGCAAGTGGCCTGGCAGTCTGGAAAAAGAGCAGACCAGCTCAAGCAACGACTGTTGTCAATACCAGTCTTATTTAGTTAATATACATCCTTATTCTTCGCAGCAAGAAGCTCGTTCACTGAGCCTATAATTTTCGTAATTAAGAAACATTCTTTCGATCAGTTCTCCTTTCGATGTTCCTAAGTTACAAAAATTATCTGGCAATAAAATTTGTCTTAATCTCTCGTTGGCTGGCAGCAATCCGTTCCCAATGTCCAGTACTTGTCGCGAGAATACCTCGGCTGCAGTGTATATATGTTTGTCTTGCTACAATGTTGACTATTTCAGGCAAGCATTTATCTAGTGTTAATCAAGAAATTAAAGACAATGTTTGCATAAAATCTCCTGAGAGAAATATCAATACATTCCCGAATGGTTGCACGTTTCCATGCTAATCCCACGACAATCGATCAAGAGCCTCAAGCAACTTTTTATGTGCCATCGTGCACTGATCCCAAATAGTTAGTTTAAATTTTTGTACTACTTTTTCCATACCGGATGTTCTGGAAATATTGCAAGTACGTGTTTCGATAAGTTATATGTTCATGATATGATAGCTAAGGTTATGTAATTGTTTGTACGAACCGTTGCCATAATCAATCTGATAAGACATGTTTTCCTAGTTCCTCCTGGCGCATCAAGAAGAAGGTCCCCTAACTCCGTCAACTATCATTTGCATATTCTTCCTCTTATTTGCCGCTGTAAACGCCTAAGCCATTTTGGCCGAGATCGACAGAGAACGCCAGTCGTTTATCTCTGTGCTAACTGACGACAATAGGAAATACCCCGTGAATCCAAGTCCTTCTCCACTTGGTCTCTCCCTCTTCTTCTGCTACCACCAGCGGATTGCGAGTTTAATACTTTCAGAACTGGATCGTCGCTTTCCATTCGAACGACGTGGCCAAGCCAACAGAGCCGCCGTATTTTCATTCGCTACACTATATCCATTTCGTTGTAAAGCTCATACAACTCATCGTTCCATCGTCTGCGGTACTCCCGTCGCCAACGCGCAGAGGCCTGTAAATCTTCCCTAAGATCTTTCTCTCCAATACTTCAAGAGCCGTCTCATCGAATGTTGGCATTGTCTAAGCTTCTTCGCCATTTGTCAGCTCGGGCATGATTAGTGACTTATAGAGTGTGGTTTTTGTACGTCGAGAGAGAACTTTACTCCCGAATTGCCTATTCAGTCCAAAGTTGCACTTGTTGGCTAAAGTGATTCTGCATTGGATTTCCATGCTGACATTATTATCGGTGTTAATGCTGGTTCCCAAGTAAACGATGTTCTCTACTTTCTCAAAATTGCAACTGGCAACAGTGATGTGGGTGTCAAGGCGGGAATACTCTGTCTCTTTGGTTGATGACAGGAGATACTTCATCTTGTCTTCGTTGATCACCAAACCCAATCGCTTTGCTTCTTTATCAAACTTAGAAAAGGCAGGACAGACTTCGAGGTTTTTGTTCGAGGTCAGTTCTGCAGCTCTTATT